ATGGCGCGTATGTGCCACCCCTTTAACCGGGATAATTTCCACGGTTAGATCCACCACGGCTGGGATCTTTTTCCTTGGCGAACGTCTTTTCTTTATTCTCGATCGAGTGTCGCGTTTTGGAGATATTGGTTATATTTTTCTACGATACGATTTTTTTTTTTTTTTGTAATTATGGAATAAACGGAATGCTTTGGAATTTATCGAAAATAAGGATGATCATCTTTTTCACTCGTTTCGAACGATTTTTTCGTTGTTTTTCATTTTTGTTATTAAATTTAAGGAATAAATTTAAGGAAGCGATAATTGATAATTTTTTAATAATAAATTGGAAAATATACTGGTAAATAATCGAAATACTTGAAAGAGATAATTTGCACGATTGGATCTGTGTATAGGATAAGGGAAGGAAATCTTTTTATCGATCAATTAATTCCTTCGTTTCTTCCTATCTTTTTTTCGATCGACTAAAGTGCATTACATCCTCCCAAAGGTTTGGAATTGGCAATTACTTTTAACAAAGATTAATAAACATGTACCATCTTCTCGTTATTCTTTCACCCTGATTAATTATAAATTATGAAAGCAACTTAATAATAAACCTAATAAAATTAAACACACCGATAATTTTCAAAAACTTGAAACACAGTTCAAAGATCTCGAAGACGAGGATGATGAGCTGAACACAAAACTCGGCCGACATTTTCCACCTTTGTCCACGTTATCGTGGACGACCACCTTCTAAACACGGTTGAATTACGATCGAACGGTCGAAAGGATTTAATCAGGGCCCGTGTTGGCCGCTCTCACAAAGGACAAGCGGCAATTTGCAGCGGCGCATAAATCATCCGGAGAGGGAGAGACTCGCGATCTATACACTTTTTCACCATAAATAACTGTACTAATAGTAGAGCCGCGAGATGAACGATCCACTCGCTCGGGGTCGCCGTGGACCCGAGTCGTACGAATCAATTTCGAAAACCCGTCCTTTCTTTTCCTTTTTCTCTCCTAACTCCATACATACGTCATATACGTCACATGTGCAGAGACGACAAGAAAGAGAGAGAGAGGAGGAGGAATTCAACATCAAACTCATCGTGCGACGATTAAAGTTTGGGGAGGCTTCTTTTTCATGAGATGGCCGATCTTTATGCTTGTTGCCTCCGTGGTTCGATTCATTTTTTATTGTAATATAGAAATCGAGGACGGTGGGTCCTTCGAAGGGAGGTCTTTTGTCGGTGTTTAAGGATAATTGATGAGTTTTCGCGATTCGTGTCGGTCCGAGTGAATGGAGGAATCGCAAGGGACGTTCTCTTTTCGAGATGGAATACTTGATTTGGATTCGTTTATTTTTTTTCTTCCTCTTTATTCCTTTTAAATAAGTGCGTCTTTCGAAGTGGCGAAGTTAAAATGAATAAAAGCTATAAAAATATTTTGCAAAACAACGAATTCTTTCGAAGATGATGGAAATTAGAGCTCTTCCTTGCATCCAACAAATAACATAACGGAAGTAAGTATTTTTGCACAAGTAAAATCCAATCAGTTTCTATAAAAATAAAAATAAAAAAATGTTCATTCAGGATCGCAAACAATTTGGAAATAAAATTCCAAGAATGGAATCAAAATAATATTTGTTTAATAATAAATAATAAAAATAAAGGGAAAGGAAAAAAATTAATTTTTTTCACGCTCCATTTCACTTCGATTTTCATAGGCACGAGAAAAAAGAAAAAAAAAAGGAGAGAAGAATGGACAGAGCAAGCCCCCGATGTCGAACTGTAAATATTTTCACCCTAACGATCGCATGATTTTTATTAATGAAGCGGGGCAGGGCCCCTTTGTCCCTCCTCCCCTCCCCCCTCCCCCTTCTCTCCCAAATATTATGCCGGTTGAAAGGTTATATTCATCGTAGTTGCTCTTTTTGTTGCCGCGGTAGCCGTGACGGGCCACGGAATCCATCCGGGTTATCCGATCATCGATCAATCATCGTTTCCACAGCTGACATCGACATAATACTGTCGTCGTTACGTAAAAACACCAAGAGTCGAGAGCCAAGCCACTCCACACGAGGATCTCTCTCTGGCTCGGGGAGGGGGGCAAGAATATTTGAACGGAATCGAAAGAGGATTCTTCTCGATAAAATAAAATTCACGACGGCTGTGCACGTTATTTACCGTTCATTGCTCGAAAGAAGTGCAAGAAGAAAGGAAGGAAGGTAAGAGAGGAATGGTTCGTCTATAGACGTTGGTGACACCGCACGCTTTAAAATTGTGAAAAATTATTTTCGTTCAACGAAGTTAGGATAAACAAGATTATTAAATATTTTCGAAACTATTAATTATTTCGATTATTAATACAATTATTATTACTGCTCGATATATTATGATAGTCAATAAGTAGTTTATAAATATAAAAATTTTTATTATATCGATTATTAGGATTGTTATGTCAACTTTATTGAAACAAAAATACAAAGAAATCAATCGAATTTCCGCGAGACTTCTTTCCAGTAAAAATCAAAAAATTCTTAATCTTTCTCTCGTTGATCTCTCATTTCGTTATGAAAGTGTTTTAAGTGAAATAATGCTTGTCCTTGTATAATTTTAAAGATTGTAGCATAATATTTCATAATTTACGTAATTTATTCGTTTTTCGCGGAAGCAGAGGAAAGGTTTACAAAATTATCTTAAATTTGCGCAACGTTATCTCGATAATGTTTTTGCTTTGCGATTAATTTCACGAGCAAACTCGTCACTCGCATAAAATACTACGTTTAATTGCAGTCGCTATAATAAATGCAGCGCGGCCTGTTTCCACGAGCGCTCCGCGTTTATTTCTATTCAATGGATATTCATCTCTTCGACCGGTTCAAAACAAATTTCAAACCTCTCAAAACTCGTAAATCGCGCGCTTCTATCCAAATCAAAAGCGGCGCGCAATTATCGAAATTACGCCCCTCCCCTCCCCTCGATTTCTTTTGCCAGTGACTTATTCGCGACGCGGTCAACGATCGTTTTTTATATTTAACCTAATTTTCAAATTATCATTAGAAAATACGATTAAAAATAAATAATAATTGGATTGATTTGAACGAGAATTATTTTGTTTTATCGATTTATCGATATCGAAATTACACTCTTCTCGATTTCTTTTGTTAATTTATTCGCGGACAACGATCGTTTTAATATTTAACCTAAATTTTCGAAATCATCATTGGAATGTTTCTTAAGGAAAAGATTGAAAACACGATTAAAAATAAATAATAATTAGAATGATAAAATTTGAACAAAAATTATTTATTCGCAGACAACGATCGTTTTTATATTTAACCTAATTTTCGAGATTCGAATCGTCATTGGAAAATACGATTAAAATAAATAATAATTGGAATGACTTGATTGGAACGAGAATTATTTTATCGATTTATCGAAATTACACTCCTTTCGATTTCTTTTGCCAATAATTCATGGTTTATAACGATTGTTTTAATATTTAACCTAAATTTTCGAAATCATTATTGGAACATTCCTCGAAATTAAAAATAAATAATAATTAAAATGACAATTTGAACAAAAATTATTTATTCGCGGACAACGATCGTTTTTTATATTTAACCTAATTTTCGAGATTCGAATCGTCATTGGAAAATACGATTAAAAATAAATAACAATTGGAATGACTTGATTTGGATTTGGATTTGAAAGGAAAATAAGAAAACACGATTTTTGATTTCACAAGGATAATTTTTTGAAAGCATAAATGTATATTCCGTGGAATATCTTTGAACGATTTTTAAAATATAAATACAAAAGTTACCAAATATGTACATGAAAATATCGAGCAAGGCTTTCCAATTTATCAGATGAATAGAAACCTAACCTCCGATATATCTTTATTTTACGATATTCGACTCTTTCAAAGATATCCATGACAACATCTTAAAATATAAAAGTTTTCAATTGAAAAACTCTTAATCATTATTTCCAATTATCTAAACTCCTTCTCAATCATCGACCTACCCATCTCAAAAACACCTTAAAATATAAAAGTATCAACACCTTAGAATATAAAAGTTCCAACTGAAAAGCTCTTAATCATTATTTCCAATTATCTAAACTCCTTCTCGATCATCGACCTATCCATCCCAAAAACACCTTAAAATATAAAAGTATCAACACCTTAGAATATAAAAGTTTCCAACTGAAAAACTCTTCATTATTTCCAATTATCTAAACTCCTTCTTGATCATCGACCTATCCATCCCAAAAACACTTTAAAATATAAAAGTATCAACATCTTAGAATATAAAAGTTTCCAACTGAAAAGCTCTTTCTAATTATTTCCAATTATCTAAACTCATTCTCGATCATTGACCTACCCATCCCAAAAACACTTTAAAATATAAAAGTTTCCAACTGAAAAGCTCTTCATTATTC